AATGGCGGACTCTCTCTGTAATGGCAGACTGCCTTGACAATGGCTGACCACCTCAGCAATGGAAGACTACCTCTGTAGTGGTGGACTGCCTTGGTAATGGTGGACGCCCCTCCCCCACAGAGCTGGACCATCCTGGGTTCAGCTGTGCTTGCTGTGAAACTCTCAATGCAGAGCGTTTCAGATTGCTGGTCTTTGTGGGGGTGGGACCAGCCATGCCTGATCACCTGGCTCCCTTCCTCAGACCCCTTTTTTTCAGTTGAACAGGCAACTCTGTCTCCCAGGTGTGCCAGTCACCAGTTGAAATGGCGCCCAGATTTGTGGGTGTTCTTGTGCAGAGACCCACTGCACCAGCTGAAACAGCCATGCTGGTCACTCCTGATACTTTTTTGCCTGGAAATCTCCTGGCCTGGCTCCCTATTTTAGTCCTCTTTTTTATCAGTTGAATGGATGACTCTGTCTCTCAGGAGCTCATCACCAGCTGAAACAGCACCCAGACCTGTGTGAGTTTTTTGTGTGGAGACCCATGGAGACCCACCGTGCTCACTGAAAGAGCTGCACTGGCTGAAGCAGCCACGCTGGAGACCCGTGGCACTCCTCTACCCAGGCATCTCCTGGTCTGTGGGCAATAAAAATCTGTCTGGAAATGCTGCGACCACTCACCCTCCATGCTCTCTCTGGGAGCTGCAATCCAGATCTCCTACTTGGCCATCTTGGATCCCCCTCCAGACCTTTGTGGTGTTTAGTTTTCTGTTCCTGTGTTAGTTTGCTGAGAATGGTGGTTTCTAGCTTCATCTGTGTCCCTGCCAAGGTCATGAATGCATCCTTTTTATGGCTGCATTGTATTCCATGGTGTATATGTGCCACATTTCCTTTATCCAGTCTATCAGTAATGGGATTTGGGTTCGTTCCAAGTCTTTGCTATTGTGAATAGTGCTGCAATAAACTTGTGTGTGTATGTGTCTTTATAGTAGAATGACTTGTAATCCTTTGGATAATATACCCAGTAATGGGATTGCTGGGTCAAATGGTATTTCTGGTTCTAGATCCTTGAGGAATTGCCACACTGTCTTCCACAATGGTTGAACTAATTTACACTCCCACCAACAGTGTAAAAGCATTCGTTCTTATTTCTCTACATCCTCTCCAGCACCTGTTGTTTCCTGACATTTTAGTGATCACCATTCTAACTGGCATGAGATGGTATCTTATTGTGGTTTCTCTAATGACCAGTGATGATGAGCTTTCTTTTTCATATGTTTGTTGGCTGCATAAACGTCTTTTGAGAAGTGTCTGTTCATATCCTTCACCCACTATTTGATGGGGTTGTTTTTTCTTGTAAATTTAAGTTCCTGATAGATTCTGGATATTAGCCCTTTGTCAGATGGATAGTTGCAAAATTTTTTTCCCATTTTATATGTTGCCTTTTCACTGTGATGATAGTTTCTTTTGCTGTAAAGAGTTCTTTAGTTTAACTGGATCCCATTTGTCTATTTTGGTTTTTGTTGCCATTGCTTTTGGTATTTTAGTCATGAATTCTTTGTCCATGCCTATATCCTGAATGATATTGCCTACATTTTCTTCTAGGGGTTTTTATGGTTTTAGGTGTTAGGTTTAAGTCTTTAATACACCTTGAGCTAATTTTTGTATAAGGTGTAAGGAAGGGATCTAGTTTCAGTTTTCTGCATATGGCTAGCCAGTTTTTTCAACACCATTTATTAAATAGGGAATCCTTTCTGCATTGCTTGTTTTTGTCAGGTTTGCCAAAGATCGGATGGTTGTAGATGTGTGGTATTATTTGTAAGGCCTCTGTTATTTTCCATTCATCTATTTATCTGTTTTGGTACCAGTACCATGCTGTTTTTGTTACTGTAGCCTTGTAGTACAGTTTGAAGTCAAGTAGCATGATTCCTCCAGCTTTGTTCTTTTTGGTTAGGATTTTCTTGGATATACAGGCTCTTTTCTAGCTCCATATGAAATATAAAGTAGTTTTTTATAGTTCTGTGAAGCATGTCAATGGTAGCTTGATGGGGATAGCGTTGAATCTGTAAACTACTTTGGGCACTATGGCCATTTTTATAATATTGATTCTATCTATGAGCATGGAATGTTTTTCCATTTGTTCATGTCCTCTCTTATTTTCTTGAGCAGCGGTTTGTAGTTATCCTTGAAGAGGTCCTTCACATTCCTTTTAAGTTATGTTCCTAGGTATTTTATTCTCTTTGTAGCAATTGTGAATGAGAGTTCGCTCATGATTTGGCTGTTTGTCTATTATTGGTGTATAAAAATTCTGGTGATTTTTACACATTGATATTGTATCCTGAGACTTTGCTGAAGTTGCTTATCCTTGAAGAAGTTTGCCAAATGTGATGAATCACATTGATGTATGCAATATATCAACCTTGCATTTTTGGACTAAAACCAACTTGGTCATATGTCCTATATACATTGTGTAATTTACTGTGTTAATGTTAGTAACAGCATTTGAACATCTTTGTTCATAATGGAGATTATAATTTTTTTTCTTGTGCAGTCTTCATGAAGTTTTTGTATCAAAATTACAGTATTTTCATAAAATGAGTTCAGGAGCATTCCTTATCTTTTAGTTTCCTGAAAGGATTTTTGTAAGATTGAAATTATTTTTTCCTTGAAATTTTTGAAGTAATCTAATCTGGAGTTTCCATTGTGTGTAGGATTTTTGACTTCTGATTCTGTTTTTAAAATATTTAGATTTCCTCTTTCTCATGGAGTACTTTTTGGTAAGTAAATACTGTTGATTTTTATCTATGTTATCTAAATTTTAAAACTTATTGGCAGGCATCTAATATTATTTGCTTAACTTCTTAATCATCTATATTGATGTCTTTTTCTCATTTCTGATATTGAATTTGACCCTTTCTTTATTTTTGTATTCAAAGTACACAACATTGATGCCCTCTATTGTACCTCTTCATTCGATTTCATTAATCTATGTTTTTATCTTATTTATTTCATTGTACTTTTGTTGGGTTTATTTTACCATTTACTAAATTATTGAATTGGATGCTTAGATCATATGTTTTCTTTTTCTTCTCCAACACTTCTTTTCAAATGATTACATTAACTTTATCATAAGATTTTGATATTGTATACAGTGTTTTTGTTGTTTTTGAGTCCACAATATTTTTAAATGTCCATATAACTTTTTTCTTCAGTTAATAGGTTATTTTTAAACATACTCCTTAATTTTCACACACAAGGCTTTTCTTACCTTTTCATATTCAGTCTGTAGAATTGTTGTCTGAGAACATAGTGTGTGTGAATGCTGTTCTTTGAAGTTTGTTGTCATTTGCTACATGACTCTAAACACACTTAAAAAGAACATGAAAAAATATTGGTTTTAATTTAATTTTTATTTTTTTCTAAAGACAGGGTCTTGTTCTGTCACCCAGGCTGGAGTGCAGTCATATGATCAATGCTCACTGTAGACTGCAGTCAGCTAGGCAACCAATCCTCCCAGCCTCATGAGTAGCTAGGACTACTGGTGTGCTCTACCTTGTCTGGCTATTTTTTTTTTTTGTAGAGATGAGGTCTTGCTCTGTTATTAAAGCTGGTCTCAAATTCCTGGTCTCAAGTCACCCTGTTTCTTCAGCCTCCCAAAGTGCTGGGATTACATGTGCCAGCTACTGTGCCTGGCCAGTTGCAGTATTCTGTATCACTTAATTAACACTATTAATTCTGTTCAAACTATCTAAATTTTAGTGATTTTTTCCAGATAACTCAGTTACTGTGAAAAATATGTTAAAATTTTCATCAAAAGTCTAGATTTGAGTCTTTTACTCTGTAGTTCTGTTTGTTTCTGCCTTCCATATTTTGAGACTGTAATTTGTGACAGCAAATGTAAAATTACTCTATTTCCTGATGAATTCATGATAACACTTTATGTTTTATAATGATTTTTCGCCCTAAGGAAGATTTTTCTGATATTTACATGCCCTGTCTCATATTAGTGGGACCATCTCTTCATCACATAAATTTGATCACTTAACAAAAAAAAAGTTTTGTATGCTCAACATCTATATATATGCTTAGTTGTTCAATGGCCAGGTAAACATAAGATGAAAGTTAGATTCAAATTGGTTAGGAGAATGTTTGGTGCAGAAAGTTGAAGTTGACATAGTTCCTCAGTTCCTCAATATATACTATTAGCTTGTGCAGAGGCCCTTGACTGATGGGGGTGGGTTGGTTAATTTATCTCTCTTAGCCATTCTCCTTTCCACCTATAGGCAGCTGACCTAATGTATTTGAAATGTGCCATAGAATTGCATTTTTATTTGCATCAATGGCATGATGCCTAAGACCTTATTATATTCCTTGCTTTTTTTTTTTGAGATGAAGTCTTGCTCTGTCACTCAGGTTAGAGTGCAGTGGTGTGATCTTGTCTCTCTACAACCTTCATCTCCCAGGTTCAGGCAATTCTCCTGCCTCAGCCTCCCGAGTAGCTGGGATTACAGGTGCATGCCACCAGGCCAAGCTAATTTTGTGTCTTAGTAGAGATGAGATTTCCCCATGTTGGCAGGGTTGGTCTCAAACTCCTGACCTCAGGTTATCTGCCCACCTAAGTCTCCCAAAGTGCTTGGATGACAGGCCACAATGCCTGGCCTATTCCTTTCCTTTTAAGTACTCACTACCAAGCTTCTAATATCTTGTTATACTGATATATTTTTAGTGTTGTTCAGTGATTCAGTTGCTTCATAGTATTTTGTAATGTGTTTGCATGTTTTATTTATTCCTTAAACAATAATTACAAATTTGTAATTCATGATTTTGGAATGGATAAGTTCAGCCTACAAATATTTGGTAATAATGAATATTGTAAGTACTTACAGTCCTTGAATTATACTAACTGCTCATTTCTTAAAGTTTCTTGAATTATCCTCCATTTTGAGTTCACAGATCTCCTGTGGGCTTATTCTCTGTCATCAAATAAAGTCATTGTTGTCTGTTGTCTCTCTTCTCTACAGTTTGGAATACTGTGGTTTGACATCTCTCTGCTGTCAAGATCTTTCCTCTGCTCTTAGCAGCAACCAAAGACTGACAAAAATGAACCTGACACAGAATATCTTAGGATATGAAGGAATTGGGAAGTTATGTGAAGTCTTGAAGTCTTCTGAGTGTAAACTACAAGTTCTAGGGTAAGTCTCCATTGGCTTCTCATAAGGAGCATTTCCTGTAATGAGGAATTTGGGGAGCCACTCATTTATTGTAGGGCTCAAAATCAACCTGATTGTATATCCTTGGGTATATTCTAGACACTTGTTTTTCTCTCATAGAACATTGAATTTTGAGAGACACAATATAGCATGGTACTTAAATGTTGAGTACTCTGGAACCAGCCTAGCTGAGTTCAAATTCTGACCCTACCACTTACTAAATGTTTAATTAAGGCTAGTCCTCCATTGTTCTTAGTTTGGATTTGCTTATCTGTAAAAAGCGTGAAATGATAAAATCTACCCATAAGGTTATTGTGAAGATCTGAATCAAGTACTTAGAACAGTGCCTAGCATAATAATAAGCAATAAATGTGTTAGCTGTTTTCATTACTATTAGTGGGTAGTATTAATTTTGCTTGGATAGTAAGGCTCTTGGAGGATTCTTTTTAATTTTAATCAGTTTCTCTTTCTCTTATGTTAATATATTCTATCTTCCTTCAACTGCTCTATCTCCCTCACTGTATCTCTCTCAGTTCCCTTCCCCCTCCTCACCTATGTTGTAATAGTCTCTCTATTTTAACGGAATGGTTTCTTTTTCTCCTGAAATAAATTCTTTACAGAGAAAGTAGAGGGCCGTAGGGAAATTGAGTGCAGGAAAAGAGATGTTCCCTTGTTTTCTCAGGTTGTGCAAAGAGGCATTTGATGAGAAAGCCCAGAAGCTGCTGGAAGCTGTGGGAGTTAGCAATCCACACTTAATCATTAAGCCAGATTGTAACTATCATAATGAAGAAGATGGGTCTTGGTGGCGGTGTTTCTGATTTGAAGAACCTGACATTCCAATCAATCAATAAATAAATACTGGCACTTGGGTGCTTAACATTAGATACTCTATGCCCAGAGATAGTGCACTTGGTAACTTGTGATACTGTTCACCCACTTCTCTGTAAAATGTTCTACTTCACACAGGGGTTGAAAGGCTAAAATAAAATGAAAAGCATCAAACTCTCTGGAAAGTATAATATGTTTTTAATTGGAGATAGAGCTTAAGAATGAAGATAAGGGAAGCCTGGATATGAGGCTGAAGGATGGGGACTGGGAAGATCAGTTAAAGTGTCTTGTTTTTTCCTTACTTCCACTGACCTGGTTTAGTTTGCAGCCCGCTATCTCTGGCACCTTTTATTAAAATGTGTCTCCATGTGTGTTTTTGGAATCACCAGTGTCAAGATCACTTGGGTATCTGTCTTAAAATGGAGATTCCTGAACCCCACACTAGACTTACCAAATCAGAATGTCTGGGTGAGGGCCCTGAGGAACCAGCATGTTTTATAATTTCCCAGGCAAATTCTTAAGTATAGTAATAGTTGAGAATCACTAGTTTAAGTAGAAATGGGAGTCTACTTCTACAATAAATACTTTCTGTAGCTTATCGTAAAGATAAGGAAATTAATTTCCTTTAAGAGGATATAAGGTTATTTGGGGTAGAGCTAGAAACAGAGTCTTTCATTTGGCAAAAACATGACACAATAAAATTTTTTGGTGTGAAAAATTGTTCTGGTTATTTACTGCTGTGTAACAAACTATCCCAAAACTTGGTGGCTTAAAACAATAACCATTTTATTAAATCTCATAACTTGGATTGGAATTCAGAAAGGGCCCAGCTGAGCATTCTTATCCTCCATGTGGCATCACTTGGGGTCTCTTGATGGTATTCATCTTGCAGCCAGGTTGCTCTGGAGGCCCCAGGTAACTTCTACACATCTGTCGCCTTGGCAGGGATGGCTACAAGGCTGGATTGGGCCAGATCCCTCTTTGTTACCAGCAGCAGTGGTTTGCAGTAGTTTCCGTCCCTGTCCCCTCAGAAGACAGAATTCAACTGAGAGGCAGAAGTAGGTTTAAAGCAGAGGTGTATTTTATTAAAGAAAGCAAAAAAGCAAAGTACACTTGGAAGAAACCAAGCAGGCAATTTGAGAGATTCAAGTGTCTCTCTCTTGATCCTTGCCCTGGGACTTTTACAGTGACTCATCTTCTAGTCTCTGTGTTCTCCTCCACTGAGCCCTCCCTTGGGTAGGTTGTTGCTTGATTATTCCATGTGCTGTGGCCTGCCAGCAATTGGGAGGGGCCCCATACACAGTGTGTTTACTGAAGTGTGCATGCTCTCTTGGGGTGATTTTTCCTTACTGGTCAAGCTCCCCCAGAGGAAGGTCATATACAGGTCAGCATCCACCATCTTGCCCCCTTTTGCACATGCTTAAAACCTTATCAGGGATTGTGGTTCACTGGTTCCAGGTGCTTTCTATCTGTTGGAGGCCTCCTTTCCCTCGTGGTGCCAGTTGTGACCACTTATTGTCTCAGAGGGATAGTTTTATGGTCACCTGTCCTTCACCAGAGGTGAGCTAGACATCTCTGGGGGCCCTCCCTTGTCCTGCTCATTTTCTCAGAGGAAAAGGTTTATGATTGCCTGACTACAGCTCAAAAATTGGTTGGCATTCCTGGGGACCCTCTCACCAGCCTTGCTCATACCTAACTACCTACTCTAACATTCCCTCTAGTCTTAGGGCCTCTCCATGTGGTTTCTGCAGGGCGAAGATTCAGGATTTGAAAGGGCCAAGTGGAAGCTGCCAGTTTTCATGAAAGCTAGGCCCAGAACTGGCATAAAGTCACTTCCATAATCCTCTGTTGGTGAAAACAGTACAGGCCAGCTCAGATTCTAGGGCAATCAATTATTGATTGGAGTAGTGTCAAAGAATCTCTGGCCTTCTTTAGTTCACCACAAATATAATGTTTTTTTCCTTGTCTGTGGGAGATAATAAAGCCTCTTAACTGATTGTAAGGCAAAATCCAACACATTTTCCTTGTCAACACAGTCAATTCTCACACAGTTTTGGTCACCCAAATGTGTGGGTTTTTACCACACCGAGCAAATTTCCAGCACTAGCTTGGTGTCCTATACTTCAATTCCATTCTGACATTATCACCCTGGAGAGAGCATTATATCTCACAGGTGAGGATCTCAGTCTCACAAGACTGTCCCCTATTTGAAGTACCAATTGCAAGTCCCAGGTTGTGACCTGTACTTCTGACAAACTGGCTATAATTCTGGGTTCCCCCAACTCTCTTTCCCTGCGTTCCGTAATTTGCTAGGATGACTCACAGAACTCAGGGAAATACTTTACTTACATCTCCCCATTTATTATAAAGAATATTACAAATGATACAAATGAACAGCTATATCAAAGATACATAGGGCAAGGTTCTATTCCTGTGGATTTAACTTGTGCCACCCTCTCAGCACATGGATGTGTTTAGTTTCCAGGGAGCTTTCTGAACTCTATCTTTTTATGTTTTTGTGGAAGCTTCATTTGGTAGGCATGACTAATTAAATCACTGGGCTTTGTAATAAACTCAACCTTCAGCACCCCCTTGCTTCTTTGGAGGTCGGGATGGGAGGTGCTGAAAGTTCCAACCCTTTAATCATGTGGTTGGTTCTCCTAGCAACCAGCTCATGTCCTGAAGCTATCCAGGAGCCTCTAGCTACCAGCCATCTTATTAGCATGCAAAACACTTATTGTTTCAAATATTCCCAAAGTTTTAGGAACTGTGTGCCTTGAAAGGAGCCAGGAAATCATACTAATATAATTTTTCCTGGGTCAATGTGGCAGGACTGGAGAATAGACCTTGGCAGTGAGAGGGGGCAAATGTTTTTCATGAAAATTTGCAAGTAATATTACTGGTGCTGATATTACATAAAACTGATACTGCTGACATTTGGCATAGGTGATATATAGAGAGGTAGCTTTTCTGAGGGTGATTTCCAGTGAGAACAGTCTTGCTAGTTAGAGAAAGCTACCTGGGGCTGTTATAAAAAACATAGAAAGAAAGTATACACTGAAGTGGTGACACCTCTTTCACATGATAGAGATGTCTGTCACTATCTTGAGCTGCAGTCACCATCTCATCCTTCACAGACAACAGGATTTTCAAGCAGCCCAAGGAAAACGCCAACAAAGGTAAATGTTTCTTAAGATAATTTCTACCAGACTGTCAGAAAAGGGAAAATTCTTATATTTCTGAAATCATTTCAGAGCATTATAGAAGACAGGTTTTCCAATTCATTTTTAAAGATGGAAAACTATTGATAATACAATCTGACAACTAAAATGAGTGACTGAGGCATAAGTCTCAAATTGTCAGGATTTATTGAACCAGCTTGAGAATGCATCTGGGAAAAATATGAGTCACTGATGCATCTGTGGCTGTTTTTTCCATAGAGCATCTCAAGAGGTTTAGAATTTATGTATTTTTCTTTTAAAAGGAGGTGTGGCAGTGAGCTTAGTGATTATAGAGTTTTCAGACTTTAGTGCCCAGTAGATCTACATTTTACATAAGGTGAACACTTGAAGTAAAAAGGAATAGAGGAAGTAGATGTCTCAGGAAGGAGTGAAGGAACAATTTTTGTCTTTTTTTTTTAACTGGGAAGAAAAAAGTGTGGAGTCTTATTTATTTATTTATTTATTTATTTATTTATTTATTTATTTAGAGTCTCACTCTGTTACCCAGGCTGGAGTGCAGTAGTGGTGCGATCTCAGCTCAATGCAACCTCCACCTCCCAGGTTCACGTGATTCTTCTGCCTCAGCCTCCCGAGTAACTGGGACCGTGCCACCATGCTGGGCTCATTTTTGTATTTTTAGTAGAGACGGGGTTTCACCATGTTGGCCAGGCTGGTCTGGATCTTCTGACCTCGTGATCCACCTGCCTCAGTCTCCCAAAGTACTGAGATTACACGTGTGAGCCACTGCACTCGGCCAGTGTGGAGTCTTTTGAAAGGGCTGGTTTCTGTTTAGCCTATGGGGAAGAAAGCCTAATGGTAGTTAGCTAGTCAGAGGGAATAATGTGGTGTGTCTGACCTCCCATCTCTCCTAACATGAATGGGAACTCAGCTTCCAAGGTTTTTCCATGGTTCCCTTGGGGTCCATTCAGTCAGTTGGGGGCTTCGGATTTTATTTCTCAAACCTAATAGCACTATCAAGAAACTTAAAGATGAATGTCACTTACGAATATGCAAAGATCTAGTATTAAACTTTTTGAAAATTTCAACATTTAATTAAAATACACTGATTATTGTGACTTAGAAGTGCAAGAGTGGGCTGGTGTTAGGAGGCATATTATAATTTATCACATTAATTGGATGATGTGGAAAAATTATTTACCTCAATTTATGCTGAAAAGGCATTTAATAAAATTCAGTCTCTTTGTGAGGTAGTTTCATAATATGAGGAATGTTTATCTTAAACTAATAGCAATACAGTTAGAAGCATTAGCATTTAAACATTGAAAAAAAGCATTAAGACTATGAATTTCTGGGGGGGACAGCCAAGATGGCACGGTAGAAGCAAATCAGGATTGCAGCTCTCAGTGAAGATGAAGAGGCCTCGCGTTGCCAAGGCAACCAACCATAACAGAGAGACTCCACCAACAGGGCAGAGCCTGCAGCAGCACGGCGGAGCCCACGACAGTAGCACAGAGCCATGGCAACAGAGCAAAGCCCACAACAGCAGGGCGGAGCCCACGGGAGCAGGGCACCCCACAGCAGCAGGGTGGAGCCCATAGCAGCAGGGCAGAGCCCACAACAGCAGGGCAGAGCCTCAGCAGGCAAATAATGACTAGACTGCCTCCTAGCTGCACAGGAAGGTACAACGGATACTCATAAAGAAAGCCCTAACTCCCCAGGACAGAGCATCTGAGGAAAAAACGGGTTGTATGAGTTCTGCAGCAGACTTAAACGTACTGGCCTAACAGCCCTGAATGATCAACGGAGCTTACAGCTCAGCACTTGAGCTCCTATAAAGTACAGACCACCTTCTCAAGCAGCTCCCTGACCACTGTATATCCAAAGAGTCACCTCAAAAAGGACTGATCAGACTAACATTTGGTGGGCATCATTCTGGGACAAAGATAGCAGAAGAAGAAACTGGTAGCACCGCTCACTGTTCCACAGCTGCTACAGGTGTACCCCAGACAAGCAGGGCCTGGAGTAAACCTCAGCAGTCCTACAGAAGAGGGGCTAGACTGTTAGAAGGAAAACTAAGTAACAGAAATACTTCATCATCAACAATCTGGGTGTCCACTCAGAGACCCATTGAAAAGTCAGCAACTACTCAGACGACAGGTGGATAAACCCACAAAGATGGGAAAAAACCAGTGCAAAAAGGAGGAAAACACCCGAAACCAAAACACCTTGCCTCCTACAGAGGACCAAAACTTCTCACCAGCAAGGGAACAAAGCTGGACGGAGTATAAGTGTGATGAAATGACAGAATCAGACTTCAGAAGTTGGGTAATGAGAAACTTCCGTGAGCTAAAAGAACATGTTCTAAATCAATTCAAAGAAACTAAGAACCTTGAAAAAAGATTTGAGGAAACGATAACAAGAATGGAAAACTTAGAGAGGAACGTGAATGAATTGAAGGGGCTGAAAAACACAACAC